CTGGCCAGCCTCTCGGCAGCTGTGTGGGCGAGTCTGAACACATGGCCGTCACGAGGCACGCCCACCCAGCTCAAGAATGAGGGGTTATGACCAAAGCTCTGACATGAGCAGGTGGGCCAGGGAATCGGAGCCTGGAAGCGTGACCCTGACTGCCACATCCTTTGCGAAGACACTGGCTGCTAAGAAAGGACACCCGGCGCCCAGTCAAAGCAGCGGCCATCTGCGGCTGTGCTTGGATTGTGAGTCTCCAAGGGGGAGGGCGAGGTTCTGCCCAGTGTCCTGAGGCTTCTTCCCCAGGTACCACTCGAGGGCTTCTCTCGGACTGCAACAGAGGAGCCATCGTCGTGTGTGTCCTGCACAAGGACCAGGCCCCGTGTCAAGACAGGGTAAGTGGCGTGACCTGATGTGCATGAGTCAGGAGGCTCCCAGGACCCCAGGCGCTGGAAGGGACGAGCCTGGGCAGTGCCCATTCCACGCTGCTCTATGGGTCCACACATGCCCCTTTCGGCTACCACTCCAGAGCACAGCAGGAGGCCAGGGGAACTGCTCCCTTCAGAGAAGCAACGCACACCTAGGGACCACCTCACCCACACAGTCAACTGATGCCAGGATGCAAGACACAGGTGTCAGAGATTGTCCTAGACAGAAACGTCCCTGTAAGGGGGCAGCTCTCTGCCAGCTGGCCTTCTGTGTCAGGGATGGCAGGAAGGCATGGCATGCAGAGTGACTGGGTGGGCTTAAGTCTGAGTTCTCATTACCAGGAATTGAAAGCAGGCAGGTGGGGCTAGCAGGTGGTGTAGTGGTTAAGGTGCTGGACTCTCGTGTGGCTGATCGCAGTTAAGAGTCCCAGACCCAGAGACTTAAAACTCATACCAGGTGCATGTGTGTGCAAGCCCCAAATCCTGAGAGAATGAGGGGAGGGGACTGCTGTGTGGCCATCTCTCCGGGGGGTGATTTCTCACTTTCTGTTTCTCTGGTGAGTGCATGTGCCCTATAGCAAAAATCTCTCCCAAAAAAATTATAAATAAAAAAACAAAAATAATGGGCTGGCAGGTGGCATGGTAGTTAAAGTCACTGGTCTCCCACATGGCCGAATATGGTTCTAGTCCCAGACCTGGTGCTTGCTTTCTCACTTTCCCTTTCTCTCTTTCTCTCTTTTAACTCTGCCCCTCTCTGGCCAAATTTAAATACATAAATAAATAAAGTGAAATAAAATGATTCAAATAAGTAAGGAGCAAGCAGGCAAGCACAAGAGTATACAGGTAGATGGGGCAAATGGATCGTGGAGCAGCATCCCACAATGTAGTGGGGAGTGGGGGAGAGGCAGCCATCACCAATCGCATACCTACACCTCAAATGCGCTCTCTGAGGAAAACAATAAACATGGAACTACCCTGGATTCGACTGTTGCATGCGGCAAAGCATGCTTCGAAAATCCATGTTGCACCTTACAAAAGATGTACAACTGGATATGAATAAGAAATTATAAAATAATAAACAAACAAAAAATCAGCAGGCTGTTGAAGCATGTACAAGAAAATAATTCAAATCACAACCCTCAAGGCTCTAGGATTGGCACGTGGAGTTAAAATCGCTTCTGGTCAGATTGATTGCTTTACTCTAACAGAAAAGCAAACCCTGACCTAAGTGCACTGAAGGGGGAAGGAATTCAAATAACCTCCAAGTGTTCTGAAAGGTCGTGCTTTCTTTTGAACCTAAGTGAATCGAGCACCCTCAGAAAAGGCAGGACCCGCTATTTCTTCTTGGGGGAAGGCACAGGGCCACTGAACTAGGAAAAGGGACAAAGGTCAAGGGTGTGCAAGAAAAAAAGCTGATTTCCTGTTATTTCAGTACTCACCTGCTTCCTTCCTGCCCCGTCCTCTTCCTTTCGCCTGGACTATCATGATCTCGGTTTCTTCGGTGGGTAGTTCGTTGATTTTTTGCAAGAAGAGCTTCTCCAGCGCTTCAGCCATTAAGACTATGTCATCTCCAGGCTGGTGAGGAGACACATGGGGTAGAGTTGGAAAGCCCTCCCCTCCCTACCTCTGCAGACAGGGCACCCCGTGCCACCCCTACCCCAAAGCATGAAGCATCGTATTCAGGGTCCTCTCCCAGTCTGAACCCCAAGGAGCTACCAGCTATCACAGAGGCTTGGATTCCTACAGGTGTGCTGAGCCTGCACCTATCTACCTGCACCTCCCTCTCAGCTTTTAAGCCCTGGCCCAAGAACCTGCTCTACTGCCTTAGTGTGTACCAAGCTCAGCCAATCAGACGGGGCCCTCCTTGCACTGGGGCCTCCTCTGACACGTTTCAGCTTCACTGGAAGGACCTGACTTACACAGGATTTCTTGCCACAAACACTTTAGCAGGGTTCTGACAGTGCTCCCCAACGTACCCCCAAGGCAGCTCACGGGGTGGGGGGCTCTGGACAATGCCCACCTCACACTGCTCTAAGGGTCCCCACTCTTGTCACCTCGTCCGTAACATGCTGTTCCCACTCAGCTCTAAATTGAGAGCCTGGCCTGCACGTTTCGCTTAAACCTAAGTGGTGAGAGCTGAGCCTTTAAAAAACACAGTAAACTTCAAGAAACTCACCTACCCATCTCTTCTGGGCAATTTTACCCACTACACCAGCAGAGGTCAAAAGCTGAGTTCTGTATAGTGTCTCCCTCCAGAGTCGTTCTATTTGAAAGGGTTGGTTTTAATCACATCTGTGGTCTGAACTGGAAACAAACGATCTGGCTTCATGGCACAGCCAGGAGCCGAAAGGTTTGGCTACGGGTTAGGAAGTGGCCTTCAGGTCTACACGTAAGACCGGGGAGGGGGACGCTCAAGTCTGTGGTCGGCAGTTCCCAACGGTCACGTGCGCATTTTCAGGAGCCAACCTCTCTGTCCAGGGCCGAGCTCTGCGGCCGCCCCACTGCACCCTCTCGTACACAGCGAGGCCTCTGTGTGAGCACACCTCTGCACAACTACACTCCAGTAGGCTCTGCTCTGACATCTGACACCATCCACGGGGACCTGGTCACGGGTCGTCACTAGCCTTCCCACACCTTCTCTCCTAGACATGCTTGAACCCAGATCCCAAGGGCATCCGAAGCACGTGCTTCAGGCTCACGAGGACAGCTTGGAAGTCACATGGCCAGCACCCGCCTCCCCACAGAAGACATACACCCGGGCACAAGCACAACCACAGGTCCCGTTACCTGCCAAACTCGAGGCCTAGCTGTTCCCAGCGCCCCTGCCCACTGGCTCTCTACGGGCCAGCCGCCTCCTCCCCCTCGCTTGCCTCCAGGGCCGCTGGACACCTGCCCCCACATCTCACCTTGTTGTAGATGTAACAGTTTGTAAACATAGTGTTGAAATCCTGGATACATTCCTGAGCATTCCAGTAATAGTTGTTTTCCAAGCGCTTCTTTATTGTTCCCATGTCCATAGGCGACTTAATGATCTTATAGTAATCCTAGAGGGCAGAGCGAGCGAAAGGCCCGTGTCACCGAGGCAGCATGCAGCACACTGCGAGGCCGGGCTGGCCACGGCTCCTCCAGATCCCTCCACAGGTGACACAGGAGAGCCCCAGCAAGCCCAAAGCTCTCCTGCTTCAGCAGCGGGGGACTCCCCAGTCACTGGTGGCGATCTGAAGGGGAAATGTGTAAGTATGCCTCGCTGCCCTGTCCTGAAACAGGCTGTTCATCAAAACTTAGGGTTTCTTCTTTTCTTCTGGTGTTAAAATGTCCTTTTATTTTTAATAACTAATGGAAAAAAGCATACGCTTTTTAAGAAGGAAGTTGCCATCTAGTAAACCACCCATGGCAGGTCCTGCTCTGTCCTTGCCATTTTCAAAATGACTATGTCCATAAAATGAGGACTCCTGGGGCCGAGTGTCCAGGCCCACCTCTTGGGTGCTGCACTGCGGGGCGTTCAGCCTCCAGCCTCGGTGCCCTGCCTTCCGCTTCTTTCACTTGCACACAGCCTACCACCAAAGCCTCATCAGTATCCAGATGTGCTTGAGCAACCAAGCAGGTGAGCTGTCAGATGAGGATCTGGACAGCCTGCATAATCTTCGGGGGAAAACCCAGCCAAGGGCTGGCGCTGCAGCACAGCCGGTAAGCACTGTGTGTCCGGGGCTGGGTCCCATGTGGCAGACCATGATCCCAATCCTGCCCCTAGATCCTGGCAGGACAGAGAAACGGAGAAGGGCTGATGTGTGATCGCATCCCAGAGGGAGCGAGGCCTTCTGAGAGGCACACACGCCTTGTGACAATTAAAAAACAAAACAAAAACCCAGCCAAGCCAATCTGCAAACCTTTGGCCCTGAACTCTCTAAGTGCTACACTGAAGGAACTGGACGGCAAGTGCAGACGTCCTAGAATACTCAGAATCAAACTCTCTTCTGTCCTCACAACTTCTCACGAAATCTACGTGAAAACCTAAACTTTGTGTCTAAAAATAACCTCAGGAGAGGGGCCAGCAGGTGGTGGGGTGGATAAAAGCACTGCGTTCCCACATGGCTGACCACAGTTCTAGTCCCGGACCTGGGGGCTTGCTCTTTCGCTTTCCCTTTCTCTCTCTTTCTGGTAAAATTAAAAAACGATAATATAAAATGGAATTAGATACATAATTCTTAAAAAAAAAAAAAATCCTCATGAGGAACCTGGGTCAGATCAAGCAGCATCCAGTTTCCAGGTGGTAGGAACAGAAGGCCAGGCAAGAGGGTTGCACACAAATGGTAAGCTCCCGGTGGTCGGCCCAGCTGTGGGGCCTCTTGGCCAGACCCGTGGAGAAAAGCATTCTGAGGCCATCCCCCACATGGAGCCTGGGTGCTCCCATACTCCAGTGCAGGCTCCGGAGGGCAGAGGGGTGGGTGACGGTGGACAGGTTGTCCCAGGGAAAAGAGCAGGTCCCCTACTATTACCAGGGGCCGAGGTGCTGGCTGGTCAGAGAACTGGAAAGGTGAGAGGTCAGAGACATGAGGATGCTGACCTGACACTACTGCTGGCCTTTAGAGGGCACTGGTGACCTCGGGAGAACATCAGGTGATGCAGAAGGAGGTGGTGACGAGAGTGAGCACTTGAGGAGGAAAGGGGGCTGGGGCTGAGTGCGCAACACCGGCTTGCCATGGGCTTGGGAGGCAATCGTGAACACCCCTCCTACCTGTTCCAACCTCTACCCACTGGCACCGGGTCACGGTACCTACGAGACCAGTCATCGTTCGGGCCCATGCGTGGTTCCTGCTCTGCTCCCGTTTTGCCCCACCTCAGCAGGACTCCAAATGTGTCCAGCCCAGCCCGGGCTACTCACAGGGAGGTTTAGCTTGACGGCGTCCACAGGCTGCTGGAAAGGCCACGCAAACTGGTGTTTCCATAGTGTCTTGAGCACCACTCTGAGCAGGTATTGCAGTTGGTTGGTCTGCCTCTTGGGCTTGTTGGGGTTGGAGGTCTCCGGGGGCGGGGGGTTGGCGCTGGCTGCATTGGCTGGTTGGGGTTGGGCCTGGGCCTGCGTTGTAGACATTTGGGAAGTTTCTAGTCCATCCCCCATTACTGGCAGATTTCTCAATCTCGTCCCAGGGCCGCTCTCCGCAGACATGCTAGTGATCCCATCACATTCTTCACCAAGCACTCTAGGAGGGAAGAGAAAAGCCCGTCAGAGAGCAGGCTGCAGGCGCTGCACCTGTGAGGACGGCTGGCTGTCACCAGGGCCCCCAGCACTCCTCGGTCACCAAGCACCTCCCTGCACTGCACAGGGGCAGCGCCACCGCCTGCTCTCCACGGCTCTCACACACACACCGACAATGAAGGCCACGGCACAGCGACCATGGTGACCACTGCCTGCTCTCCACGACTCTCACACACACTGACAATGAAGGCCATGGCACAACGACCACAGTGCCCATGGTGACCACGGCCTGCTCTCCACAACTCTCTCACACACACACACACCAACAATGAAGGCCACAGCACAGCGACCACGGTGACCACCGCCTGCTCTCCATGACTCTCACACACTGACAAAATGGGGGCCATGGCACAGCGACCATGGTGACCACGGCCTGCTCTCCACGACTCTCACACACTGACAATGAGGGTCACGACACAGCGACCACGGTGACCACCGCCTGCTCTCCACGACTCTCACACACTGACAATGAGGGTCACGACACAGCGACCACGGTGACCACCGCCTGCTCTCCACGACTCTCACACACTGACAATGAGGGTCACGACACAGCGACCACGGTGACCACCGCCTGCTCTCCACGACTCTCACACACTGACAATGAGGGTCACGACACAGCGACCACGGTGACCACCGCCTGCTCTCCACGACTCTCACACACTGACAATGAAGGCCACGGCACAGCGACCACAGTGCCCATGGTGACCACCACCTGCTCTCCACGACTCTCACACACTGACAATGAGGGTCACGACACAGCGACCACGGTGACCACCGCCTGCTCTCCACGACTCTCACACACTGACAATGAGGGCCACGGCACAGCGACCACGGTGACCACCGCCTGCTCTCCACGACTCTCACACACTGACAATGAGGGCCACGGCACAGCGACCACGGTGACCACCGCCTGCTCTCCACGACTCTCACACACTGACAATGAGGGCCACGGCACAGCGACCACGGTGACCACCGCCTGCTCTCCACGACTCTCACACACTGACAATGAGGGCCACGGCACAGCGACCACGGTGACCACCGCCTGCTCTCCACGACTCTCACACACTGACAATGAGGGCCACGGCACAGCGACCACGGTGACCACCGCCCGCTCTCCATGACTCTCACACACACTGACAACGAGGGCCACGGCGGGTTCACAGGGAAGGAAGTACTAGAACGCCACGCCTTGGAGTCAGTAGGTAGTGTGCTGATTAAGGTGCTAGACTCCCACATGGTGGCGGTTCAAGTCCCAGATCTGGAGGCTTGCTTTCTTACTTTCTCCATCTCTGTCTTTCTCTGGTCAAATTAAAAAATAATAGTATAATTAAGTAATTCTTTCAAACACAATGAAGCCATGCCTCACAACCCTGGTCTTCACCTTTCCTACTTGGGAGCTCGTAGGGGCTGCTGCCCGTATGAGGGACAGGATGATCTGCAAGCCCCCAAGTATGGCATTCACATTAAAAGCTTCGCTTGTACCTGCGGTTCACTCAAGCCAAGCTCAGCCATTCCATCCCCCGGGGAGGGGCACACAGCCCACTGCCAAGTGCACAGGGCCAGGCTTCAAGCCTACTAGGACGTCTGCTTAGGGACTTCGATAATGGACATATTGCCGAGGAAAAATATCCCACAAGTCACTGCTGAAAATACAGGACTGACTTCACATTGGACCTGTGTGTTAGTAACTACGAAGGGGCACCTCCATGGCAGCGTGGGTCCCCACCTGCCCAACCCCTGCTGAGGGTCACGCCACCTCTGCAGACTCCGTCACAAGCACCCTTGCGAGGGCACCCTGGTGCACCTGCCCACTGATTCCCGCGGGAGAAGCTCTAAGCCACACCACCCCAAGTCCGGAGCACACAGCTGTACTACCAAGCCGCCCTCCGGAACAAGCCAGCCAGCATCAGTCACCACGGCTGAGGGAGCGCTCCCAGGACTCCAGTCTCGCACTGCAGGATGGTGTTCAGGTCAGTGGGGGATCCCGAAGATCATAATGGGTTACACCAGGTGTGTAACGAGCTACAGCACCCGGGTCTGTGTAAGCACACGCTGCAGATGGTCACACGACAAGGAAACCTCCTAAAACCGCGTGTCTTAGAGCGGGTCCCCGGTGTTAGCGGCGCGTGACTGTGTCGATGAGAAACATCTGTCCAGGTGTGCGTGGACCATGGGCTGACCGTCTGTGCACTGCTCGCTTATGACACTTTCCCACCGTTATCTTTAAACCCAACCCCGCGGTAAGACGGCTATAAGGGGAAGGGGTTGCCCGCGTCTAACAAGCATCTCCAATCACACACCTGCGTGCTCGGTGGAGAGAAGACTCTCCTGGCTGAGGAAGTTGGGCAAGGCTTAAGAAAAGAGGGCAGGCTCTAGGACCCAAGACTAGAGAAGGCAGAGGGACGAGAAAAGAGAGGGGTCTGTGTCTGATTTCCAGGCCAGCCTATCACCAGGCAGGGTGGAGGTGGCCGTGCAACTCCACATCTCAGAAACCCTGAGGACTGAGCTCAGGGCTGGCCTGCGCAACTCTGCAAGACCCTGTCTAGGAGCAGGCATGGGACCAGGGCTTGCTGTAGTCCCAATGGGAGGCTGAGGCAGGAGGGCTGCTGTTACATGCAGAGAACTTGTCTTAAAAAAAAGGTGGGGGCAGATAGTGTAATGGTTATGGCGCTGGATTCCCACATAGTCGACTATGGTTTGAGTCCTGGACCTGGTGCTTAACACGCATGCCTGGCGTGTGTGCGTGTGTGCCCAAAATCTCAAGAGGAGAACAGAGAAGGGATTGCAGTGTGGCCATTTCCCTGGGGGCTGATTTCTCACTTTCTGTCTCTTCAGTGAGTTGCACTTGCCCTATAGAGAAAACCTATATTTAAAAAAAAGTGTGGGACCAGCAGTTAGCCTAATGGCTATGCCGCTGGACTCCCATGTAGTCAACCATGGTTTGAGTACTAGACCCGGTGGCTTAAACTCATGCCGGGCTCGTGTGTGTGCGTGCCCAAGGTCCCGAGAAGGGAATGGAGGAGAAAGAACTGCAGCGTGGCCATCCCCCCAGGGGATGATTTCTCGCTTTCTGTCTCTCTGTCACTCTTTCTGGCGAGTGCACGCGCCCTATAGCAACAACCCACCAGAAAAAAAAAGTGTGTGTGTGTATTGTGTGTGTTGGGGGGAGGTGTGCCAGAGGGCATTGAGGATAAGGTGCTGGATCTCACACGGCCAATTCTGCAGTTCAAGTCCTGGACCTGGCTGTTTGAGAAACTAGCCAGTCGTGTGTGTGTATGCGTGTGCCCAAAATCCCAAGAGAAGAAGGGAGACAGGACTGTGGTGTGGCCGTCCCTCCTTGAGGAGCTTTCTGACGTTCTCTCTCTGCCAGTCTCCGTCCCCAGTGAGTGCATGCACCCCATAGCGAACATTTTTTAAAAACTAAATTAAGAAAGAAAGAAAAAGAAAAGACAGAGCGAGCTGGCTGTCTCAGGCCTGGCTTTCACTCCGGACCACACTTGGTTCCAGCAGCAGCTTCATGCCTAGCACACACTAGGCCCTCTAGTCCTGAGAATGACTTTGTGATTACTTTGTAATTCCAAGTGCAATGTAAACCAAGACTCCCACAGAGCGCCTTGTAAACATAGTTCTGGCAAATGAGCACTTGATGTAGCAAGGGGAGAAGTGCTACATAAAGCAACCCTGTATCCATCTTTCTGCAGCTGCAGGACCAGAGTGCCCTGACCCACAGCAGGCAGGCGGACCCTGCTCACAGGTGCAGGGGCGGAGCTGACAAGGAGCTTGGAAAGACAGACATCTGCAGAGAGCACGCTCCCTCAGGTGCCCTGGCCGACTGCAGGTCAGCGTCAGCGTCAGCGTGCAGACTGCCAAGGTCTCGTGTGCAGGTCCAGCCAGCTATCATCCAGCTAGACCGTGCCGGAGAGAGCACTGCTCTGAGGAAGAGGCTGCCACCAGGCTAGTTTAAGGCCACTCACGCGAGACTCTGCAGAGGAGTGTGGCCCCAACCCAGACAACACACAGTCGCCAGCCATGAGCACACGATCCTCTGGTATCGCGGACTCGGCCTGACTTGTGCCACCTGTGAGGAGTCATCTGAGGAGCAGGAAGCGGGGCTGGGCGACAGCCGCGCCATCAGGTGTCTGGAGGTGGTCTTGTGTTCGCCACTAGGCAAATACTCGAGGCCAGACTGCCCAAGACGGCCCGTCAGAATGCACCGTCTGTGCCCTTTCAAAGTACCCTGAGCCCCAGAAGGGGGACGGTGGAGCACTCCTGCACTGGTGTGCTGTGTCCAGACAATGCCGGCTCAGGGAGAACACCCAGGGAAGAGGGTCATCGGGGAGGGGTTTGTGCATGTGGAGCCACACCCTGACGCACCTCCTACACAGGGTGCCAGGGGTGGGGAGTAGGGACACCCAGAGCTGACAGAGACAGGGAGCGGGGTGGACAGTGTCCTCCAGGCCAAGGGAGCAGTGAGTCAGGAGTTGAGGACGGAGGTGAGGCATTTCTCTGAAACAAAGCCATCTGACAGTGGGGGTTGTGAAAGTGGCAGCACATGAGCACACCAGTGTCCTGGATCGTGGTGGTTTCTAAAGGCAGACGTCTGACTTGGGGGGGCCTGCACTGGGGGTACAAGGAACTGCCCGATCCCGTCGGGGGGCTCCTGGTACATACACGTACTGCCAGCATGGCCAGCCTGGGGTCCTACAAGACGTGCCCGTGGCACGATTCAAACCAGGACAGTGGGGACCGAGGTGCTACTGCTGGGAGAGGCTCCTGGGAGACGCACTGGCAGCACAAGCTGGCTGGAAGCTTACAAGGGACAGTGTGGGCCCAGAGCCAGAGTCATCGCTGAGTCACCGCCCTCTGATAAAGCCAGGCAGCCGTGCGTGGATTCGGGGATAAGGAGCACCC